GGATCGATCATTAGTTAATTAACATTACTTATCCCAACAATTTTGGTAAACAAAATTTTCATTTGCAAAGCCAAAATATCGATTGCATTGTTTATTCATGAAATGTGCAGTAATTTAACATGTTTAATTGCCTCTTGTTTAATAAATTAAAATTTAAGTATAAAACTTGTAAATTTACTTATATTTTTATTTAAAATTAATTTCATTAATATCTAGAGTAAACATTACGATTCAAAGTTTCACCATGATTGGACGAGGAAACTACAAAGGTAGTAGAGTGAACGACCCTTTGCCTTGATGGTCCATGCCTTTCAATTCAGTGTGTGAAATCTGTGATTCCTCTCACTCTCATACATCATTTTCAAGGATTAGGCAACCAAAATCAATCAATTATTGTTAACTTTAATGCTTACGAATTGAATTACGTAATTACATTTAACTTATCACACAGAAATTATTTTAATAATTAAATTATATATGACTTTTTTAAAAAATATTTTCTTAACGTTAAATTCCTTTTTATAGTAATCTATTTATAAGTAACTTGACTCTCCTTACGTAGCTATATTTTAGTCACAATGTCAAACACCGAAGATGTCGGGTTGGGCGCCGTTGGCGGCGGTGTACGCTTAAAAATACTTAATTTACTTTTTTTTAATCTTTGATTAATAAGAAAAAATTACTGTAATATAATATAATGTTTAGTACATCACTTTTTGTACCGTATCGGTGATAATCTGATCTGACCCCTACGTAGGTATTGATTCGATATTATGGTTAGCTAAGCCCTCTCACCTTATAGGCTAAAGATTAGAAGGCAAGTGTACCGTCTCGGTGATAATGTGACCTGACCCCCTACGTAGGTGTGCTTTCTCGATCAAAATTTGATTTGACCTCTCTACATAGGCGTACTATCTCGATCAGAATCCGACCTGACCCCCCACAAGCATACCTTTTACGTAGATATCAATCTGATATTAGGGATAAAATCCTATCTTTAATGACCAAATATTCCCAAAAGAAAACTATCATAAAAATCTCCACGTTCACGAGGCCCATGAGGTCTATAGACAATAAAGTATAAGACTAAAAACCCTAGAGCTAAAAAGACAGATTACACTTGAATGCTCTAGCTCGAGAGACTTGACCTAGGAGAAGAATCCTATACCCCCTTCTTTGGCAGAACACTTTTCTCCTATAAAGATATAATAGTTTGAAATATAGTTTGTGTACAGGTTAGGCCATTCGATCACACTCACTCGGCACCTCCAGTTTTCGAAGGAAAATGTGTTGGATTGATCATTCGGCCACACCCACTTGACACCATAAAGAATAGAAGTCTAATCAACACCTTTGACAATTGAAGGAAGGTATACATTCACTTGACCATACCCTGGCTACCCTTAGGGTCCCTTACATCATTCGGTATAGTCAGCAGCCGAGTGAGTGAACTAAGCATGTCACTTAGTATATCTCGGCAACTTCAATAGTCGACAGTCGTTCGACATCTTCTATAACTGATAAAATCCAATAAAAGTGACCTTTCATAATTAATTAAACATCCCTAATTAGTGATTAAGGACTAATCATATGAGTAAACTAGTTATCAGTGTATTACCTAATTTGCAACCTTAATACGAGGTCCATTAAGATCTAGACTCATTAATGTCCGTATAAATAATTCGTATCTTGAGGTAAAAGTTATTATTCATTTATTACTATCGATATCATGCTTGTCTTGACTTGAGTGTGAGGGTGTCTTTTGTAGATATCTCTCCCTTTTGTATCTCGATTTGGAGCTCCTGTTCGACCCTTGAATTACGAGAAAATTACTAATGTGTCCTTAGACAGATATAATTTGATTTTGTAATGCTATCCTAAACCATATAAATTTATATTATATAATCTCTCTCGCTTTAAAAATAAGTTTCATTAAAATTTTAACCCATAATAAAAACAATGTTAAAAAAAAAGGTTGTTAGCATTCATCTTCTAAACTATGATACATGTCATTTTCATATATTAAAAATGAATTGAGATTAAGATAAATATTCCAAGAGATTTACATCCTGAAGGCTGAAGATGGTGGACCCTGTGTGAGTGTGAACTGGATTTGTGGATTGCAAAGAGAATTCAAAGGACATCTACTTTCTTGGGTTTTAGATATTTTAATTTTAAGAAATAAAATATTTGTTTTGTTTTGTAATTCTTTATTAGGGTACACATCTCATGTCTTTATTTGTTTCAAAGCGAGCCCGCTCTTCGTTGCTTCGTGTTGACGCTCTTGCTCATAACTTTTTATCAAGCTTCCCATAATACCCCTCCACTTTTTCATTAATTTCCCCATCTAATATTTGCACGTCAAGATGATGATAAATTTTTTTATGCTATCCAGATCAAGATTTCAACCTTTTCTTTTGACTTGGTTTTATTCTATATATACTCAATATTTCATTTGCTAAAAAATAACTTAAATTCATTACGATCTTATTTAATATAGAATATTAGAATTGGTGTCATTTAACGTTAATTCTTTAGTAGAATATATTTTTCGTCTTTTATTTTTGTTTTTCTTCTTTATTTTGGTTTGGTTTCCTAAATTAAAAAATATAAATAATTAATTTAAGCTTTAAGTTTATTTTATTTTTTTGCAAATAATCTGCTCAAGCAAGGCAACAACTTCAAATAATTTTATTAACATTAATTAATACAAGTGATAATAATTTTTTTTTTTTTTAACTTGTACCAAAAAAAAATTATATTTTTAATTAAATTGTTTAATTTTAGAATAATTTATATGTTAGGAGTGAAATATTCTCTTAAATTTGCATTTGAAATATAAAAATTGAATCCATTTGAAAGAATTGTGATTTTGAAGAGTAACGATGATTTTTACCAATTTAAACTAAGCTTCATAAAGTAGTGTTAGTAAAACTTATGCAAAGGTATATCCTCTAAAAGTAGATACTAAAAATGTTTTGTTATCAAATAAAAATTATTCGAAATAATTAAAAGTAAAAATATTTCTAAAAAACATGTATTATATTTATTATATTACCAGTATTCCTTCTCTCACTAATTAGTAATTAATAATTAATTCTTCATCATGAAACCATCATCCCCGTCAAGAAACTTGATATGTGCATCAGAAATACTAACATTTGTGAATGGAGTCAAAAGCGATTTTTTTTGGTGAAAAGTCAAAAGCGATTTATGCATGCCATGTTTCATTTACCCAAAAATTTTCATTGGAAATTCAAAGTAACATAGCAACACTGTTTCTAAACACTTTACTAAATTGAAGTAAAATTAAATTTAAAAGTCAAACTTGATTTAACTATCTTAAATGTGAAATTAATACTATCAGTGTCATTTTTATTTAAAGTCAAATCAAGCTTATGTGTACTTATTATTAAATTTTAACATTATTTTATTTACAATTTAGCAAAAAAACCACTAATTAAGAAAATTCATCATTATATTTTTTGAAAAAATATTTTCTTTCTAAGATTAATGCATAATCCAATTTTAAGTTGTTTTAAGATGTTTATTCTTTACACATATATTGCATATATTTTATTACATGAATATCTAGGTATTACTTGTATGAAAATCCTAAATTAAATTATGTGTATGTTTTTTGCTGTTGCGTGAAATTATAGTAAATCTAGAGATTTGTTTGATTGTTATTTTTACTAATTATTTTCTATGCTTATAGCTATTAGAGGTGAGCATGAGTGAAATCCATTCATTTATAATCTTGACCCAATTTTTTAATTGGGCTATTTTTTAAAATTCAAATATGATCTAATAAAGACTTAAAAATATATAAAATAAGGTGTTTTCAATCTAACTTTAATTCTCTATTAATTTTAATAGTATATATAATTAAATTGTAAATTAAAAAAACACAAAACTTAAATTAAGATACATTTCATAATTATTTTAAAGATAAATAAATTTATTATAAATATGATATTATATTATAAAAATATTAATAACTAAATAAAATTTATTATTAATAAAAATACTTCAATCAATTATATTTTAAAAAAATATTAAAATACACCAAATTTATTTTGAAAGTATAATCACATTAAAATTAGCCTTCCGAGATGGTGAATTAGCGCGAATTTTTTACTGAAATAATTTTTTTTTTAAAAAAAATTTATCAAAACAGTATCTGTACCACTTTATTTACCAAAATAGCACTTTTCATTGTTGAAGTTCATAATTCGGTTCCTGGATAATCGAATTTTGAACTTCAATTTATTTATTTATTTATTTATTTATTTTGCTCAGAATTCGATTATCGGGAAACCGAATTCTGAGTAGTGTTAATTTTTTTTTCTTTTCTGTTTGTAGTTCGGGTTGTGGGTTAATGTTGCAACTGGAACGACCCGTTCTCTAAGCAGAATGGACCGTTCTGCTTGCACGCATAGTCTGTTATTTTTGAAACTGGAACGTCCAAGCAGAATGACCCGTTTTGATCTATTCGTCATGTGTGTATTTTTTGTATCCGGAACGGCCCGTTTTCCTTTCAGAACGGGCCGTTCCGGATCCAGTTTTACACCATTCTCAGATCCAAAAACGCAAAAAAAAAAAAAAAAATTTAACAGCTTAGAATTCGGTTCCCCGAAAACCGAATTTTGAATGTGAACAGTAAAAAGTGCTATTTGAGTAAATAAAGTGGTACATATTTTTTTTGGTAAATTTTTTTTTAAAAAAATTTATTTTAGTAAAAAATTCAATTAGCGCAGGTGTTATCCGAAGCAGCTGTTTCTCAAATCGAGAATATTAAAGTACTGTATGGGATAAAAGTCAATGAGTGCATAATTGTTAAAAAAAAAGAGGAAGAAGGAAAAAGACAGGAGGAGGGTATTTTAGGAAATAGGGAACGATAAAGCAAAGTTGACGAGCTCGTGTTTACGGGACAGAGTTGGTTCACACGTGGCCACGTATGACGCGGTTCCTATGTCAGTGTCTTTAATCTTCTTCATATCGAACATAGCTTTGCTTAGGCGAATCCAAAACGAAGTGATTCTTTTCATCTCTCTTCTGTTCCCCACCCCACAATTTCTCTGCTCCTTCTTTCTTCCTCTTTCTTCACCCACCCAATAACTTCATTGGGAACTGAAACCATCAATCAAAACCCTCACTTTTTTTTTTCTTCTTCTTCTTCTCTTTCACTTGAAAAGTGTTGTGTTGGGTTGAGAATTGTGGCAGGGCCTAATGGGTAACTGCCTAGATTCTTCTGCCAAAGTTGATGCTGCTCAGAGCTCCAGATCCACTTCTGGTTGGTCACCCACCTTATTAGATGATTCCTTTTTCTTTATGGGAATTGTGTTTCAGTGTTATGGATATTGGATAGATGATGTTGTAAAGTGTAAAATTGTCTCTTCGTTACAAGGGTTGGATGAAATTTGACACTTTCTTCACAGTAGTACAATATATTTATCTATTTATTTATTTTTGTTTTGGGTTTTTTTTTTTCGTTAAATATTACTGTAAAGGTTCAGATTCTTCAACCTATCATTTCTACTTTTATGATTATGGTTTTTTATTTTTTAAACAATTTTTCCTCCTTATATTTTTATGTGGATTTTAAACCTCACGGTGTGGTCTGATTGTAGACATGGATTGTTTTGGGAATTGATTTTTTTTAGTAAGTTGTATGGGGTGGTCTGAATAGGGTGTGAAATATGTTGAGTACGTTCTCATCTTTATATCCGAAATTTTGCAAGTTTTTGCTTGTTTTTTTAAGTTAAAAACATATGCTTCATCAAAATGGTGAAACATACTTTTGGTTGAATTATAAGCAATTTAAATATTAACCGGGAGAGTTTGGAGGTCATAAAGTAATTAAAGTTGAAGATTTGCCTTTTTTTCTTCTGTAATTATGTGCATCGCAGATTGAAATCATGAAATTGAGTTATAACTAGAGAAAATTGCTGTTAATTACTTGTTCAGAAATGGTCTGTAGTATTGCTGATCGTTAGATTTTAAAGTTGCTTTTTTTTTTCCACATTTTTTTTCTTCCTACTTGCTTTTGTTTGTGACTTTGTGTAGGGTCACTATATATGGAATTATGAAGTAAACATTTTTTTCTCCTTCTGTCTGCATCAGGAATCTCAAAAACTACTCCTTCCAGCTTATCTATTCCATCATCATACAGTGAAAAAAGCAATGCCTCAAGTCTTCCCACACCAAGGTCTGAGGGTGAAATCTTGTCTTCTCCCAATCTCAAGGCCTTCACATTCAATGAGCTGAAGAATGCCACCAGAAATTTTCGCCCTGATAGTCTTCTTGGTGAGGGGGGATTTGGATATGTCTACAAGGGATGGATTGATGAACACACATTCACAGCTTCAAAACCTGGATCAGGAATGGTTGTTGCTGTAAAGAGGCTTAAGCCTGAAGGTTTTCAAGGTCATAAGGAGTGGTTGGTAAGTGTTTGCTATCCAAGTCTATAAAGGGGCTTTCCCTGCCCCCAAAAGAAAAAGTACATGGTTTTGTTTTTTTTCTCATAATATGCTTGGTTATGAAATTTTAATCTATTTTCAGACTGAGGTTAACTACCTTGGACAACTGCACCATCCTAATCTGGTTAAATTAATTGGATACTGCTTGGAGGGAGAGAACCGGCTTTTGGTCTACGAGTTTATGCCCAAAGGAAGCTTAGAGAACCATCTGTTTAGAAGTAAGTTACCATATATAACCATTATTCCATTCATTCATATTTTGTCTCTATTCAGCTATTGCCTTGATCATTTGGGTCCTAGAGTCTTTTTGAATACAAGTTTTGAGGAATTTGAGTGTTTCTTTATTAGATATCTTCTTCATTTTCAGAAAAGTTTTCGTAACCTCTTTTAAACTTATATCCAAACATGCTCCTATTTTGTCTAGAAACATTTGCAAGAGAAGAAAATAAAAAAGGTAAAATGCATTGAACGCTTCCCATAAGCTAAAATCAACTTGTGCACCTTAACTTTTGGAGAAGTAAGTGAAAAAAGCTTCTATAAAAGCTAAATGGCTTATGGGAGAAGTTTAATTCATTTTACCTTCTTAGTTTCTTTTTCTGTAAGTACTTATGGGTAACTTTACCCAAACAAGGCCTTGGTCACTAAAGAAACTTAGAAGACAGAAATTAACAAGTACAGATTAATGCTCCCTTAAGAATGATCTTTTTCTTAACGAACATGTTTTGTAATTCTAATTTCAGTTTATTGATGGCCCAAATATGATACATTTGATTTGAGTTTTGTTGGTTAACTGCACTAGAAATTAATTTAAATTTTTAACTTATGGGTTCATTTATTTGACAGGAGGACCACAACCACTCTCTTGGCCAGTAAGGATGAAAGTGGCCATTGGTGCTGCCAGAGGACTCTCCTTTCTTCATAATGCCAAATCACAAGTCATATACCGTGATTTCAAAGCTTCTAACATCCTACTAGATGCTGTAAGATCAATGAGAATATAAACAATGTTATGAGTTTATATTTTTCTTTTTGTGTAAACTTCTTACTTATCATTCAAGGGGATTACAGGAGTTTAATGCTAAACTCTCGGACTTTGGTTTAGCTAAGGCGGGTCCTACTGGTGATAGAACTCATGTGTCTACTCAAGTCATGGGAACTCAAGGATATGCAGCACCTGAATATGTAGCCACTGGTATGCTCCAGCTTCACCTAAATCATTGTTGGTAGTTGGTGCTTTACCTAATTATTAGTATTCTTCAGTCATTGTTTCTTCATTGTGCATTTTAACATGCTATGAACTAAGAAATCCTATATACTTTAATATAGCTTCTTTACTGTAGAATAAATGATAAATGCCATTGGGACATTAGGACATTGCTCATCATACTGATAATTGGTTTCAGGGTTTTCATGATTTCCCTTCTGAGTTCTAATTATCATTTTCTTTTCAAAATAGGCATTCTATGCTTCAACTTCTTATCATGTTTTATGTGTTGTACTATTTCATAGAACGGGAAGTGTTAACAACATATCCTCTAATCATACATTTTTAAATGTTTAAATGTTCTCTCCATTATTGAGTGATATTTGGTGTGTATTGCTTGCATTTCTCTTCATAGCATCAATGAGAAGAAGACTCATTTCCCATATCATTATATGTTCAAACATTACACTAAATTCCTAAATGATTTACAGGTCGCTTGACAGCCAAGAGTGATGTCTACAGCTTTGGAGTTGTGTTGCTTGAACTTTTATCCGGAAGGCGTGCCGTTGATAAAACAATAGCCGGTATGGAGCAGAATCTGGTGGATTGGGCAAAACCTTATCTAAGCGATAAACGAAGACTCTTCCGGATCATGGACTCCAAGTTGGAGGGCCAGTACCCTCAGAAGGGTGCCTTCATGGCTGCCACACTTGCCCTACAATGTCTCAACAGTGAGGCCAAGGCAAGGCCTCCAATGACAGAGGTTTTAGCAACTCTGCAACAGATAGAAGCCCCCAAAACTGCAGGCAGACACTCCCATTCAGAACACCACAGGGTCCAAACTCCTGTGAGAAAGTCTCCGGCACGGCCTCGGTCACCGTTGAATGTAACTCCTACTGCTTCCCCTCTGCCGGCTCACCGGCAATCGCCCCGTGTCCACTGAGCTGTGAACATACAACGTGTGTATGTAAATTCCTTATTTTCATCTGGTTGTGTTTTTGATAGCATGCGGTGAGGCGTGTGTACTTAGATGCAATTTTGGCATGCTTTGTAGAATAGTTAACACCATTTATCCAAATGTTATGCAAGTTATTGCAGCAGTATTCATCATGTGTTATTTACTTTTGATGGAATGTCATGTTGATACTCACAGGTCACAACCAGACACATTGCTTCCGTACTAAATTTACCAACCGGTGGTTGATTCGATGTTGAAAATCGTACATTAATTAGTAATATGTTAGATAATATAAGTAGAGAATATTCTTCACAAGTCGATTTATAAAGTTGAGTTTGGTCTAAACTCTTCAGATAACATGTAACTTATTTTTCTTAAGTGAGGTTAAGGTCTTATGTTATCAAGCGGTACATCTCTAATTTTTCTTAAATAAGGTGTTAGATTTGAGTCATAGTCATTGGTGTGAAAAAGTTTCAGATGGGAAGCATAGGGACAAGATATTTAATAAACCTATGACTGTAACATACATAATGCAAGAACTTTATTAATGTGCATGGACTCATCATGTGAAGTAAAGGCTAAAAAGAAGAGCTTAATAAACAAACCGACTAGACTTACAACAGCATCTAGCTAAATGGGTGACTAACTAACTGACTTTATTACACATAATGAGTGTTGTGTGGCGCTGATAAGATGCATGAGAGTACCGCGTTACATGAACTCCTTGTATTCCTCTTTATAAACTTTTCCTTAGTTTCTTTAATGTTAGTTTTTAATACTAATCAAGGTTCATGAATTGAATGCAATTTTTATTTATTTATAATTATTATCGACAACCCTCTTTCAGCATAATTTTACTGTGACCTTCAATAAAAATGTTTTTATTTATTAATTACTTGATCAATAATTTTAGAATACTTATCAGTAAATCACCCTTTTAAAAATTTATGAAAGATATATATTTTTTTCAAGTTAATTTCAATATCTAATAAATCAAGTTTAACTATTTTATATTTTCCAATAATTTATCCACTTTTCTATCAGGTTATACTAATGTTAGAGGTGGCAAATTAGGTCTAATCAAATGGGGCGGCTCAAGAACAGCACAGATATCGAATCTCTTAAAATTTTAGAGTAGAAAAGAGCCAGGTTGTAAATAACCACTGAACCAGGCTGGATCCATGAAATGTAGGCTGAAAATCAACTTAGCCTATTTGACTTTTTTTAAAAAAATTTAAAATTTATATAATTCTAGATAAAAAGGAGTCAATGAATCTGTGATCCATAAGAATTTGAGCCTAGTGCGGTCCAACACATTTTTTACAATTTAATGAGAACATTACTTAACCTATTTAATTTGGTATTTTTTTTAAAGTTGTTTTTCTTAATTTTATATAAATTTAGGTAAAGAAAAATGGTCAACAAAAATTTGACCTATAACAATTTTGGCTCAGCCCGATATTACCAATTTTTACACGAGTCGGATGATTTATTTTTGCCACCTTTAACTAACTCCATTGTTACGAGATAAGAACCAAAGAGAGAATTACGTAAGAAAGAATAATACAAGAAATGTTATAATATATAAAAAGTGATTTTATATAATATATATAAGTATAAATCTATTTAATACATATTTATATATAATTTTAATATTAATTTTGAATGAAATTTAACATAAAATATTATGTGTTATTATAATATTATGTGTTATTATACAAATTTTTTTAGTGAAACTAATGAAATACTGAAAGGAATAATGAAGGTAGGAAAATAAATTAATGAATTTAATAAATTTTTTTAATAAGTATACTTTTGAAAGTTCAGATATAGATTTAAGAGTCAAGACTATCAATTATTTTTAACATTTTTTCTTAACAGGTGAGAATTGTTACAAATAAATCATAACAAATAAAAAATATATAAATTTAATCATCCAATGCTTCCAGGCTGATTAGCAATAGGAATGGGCAAAAAATACATTCCTTATATATACATTTAACTTTTTCTTGAAAATATCCTATCATAAATATCATCATCTATGGGTATCAAAAGTTATTAATTTAAAATAATTTGATACTTATATTTTTTAACTAAAGATTAGAGTTTAATTAATTATTAATTTAGATATGAAATAATTTAATTTTTTTTTTCACACACGCGTTGAATAACTTACATATTTAATTTTTAAAAAAGTTTAACTATTCGGAGAATGTTTCAGAACTCATCAGTTTCGGAGGATTTAACATTTTTGTTGATAAATATATCCTTTAAAAAAAAAACAAATACCATTGCACTCAAACACATTTACCATGACATGACACTCCAATCATTTTTTTTGAACAGCTAAGAAAAATTTCATTGAAAAGGTACCAGTGGTACCAAAAAGAGAAAAAGAAAAGTGTACATATAGAATCAAACATATCAGTCCCATGAAGAGAATAAAATAGAAAAGAAGATAACACACTTCTTTTGTTGTTTCAGTAAACCCTTCACAACCCTCTACTACTGCCCTATTATGAGAAACTCTCCCCCACCCTCCCACCCTCTGTAGCTAATCGTGTTGAATTGTTTTTACATCTCCTCCCCATTCCTCAAAAAACCAGTTCATTACCTGACCCTTCCCTACATGATTGCAAACTGTCCTACCCAGTTGTTGATATCACCTTATCATATATACACCTCACTCCCATCGTAGCTGTCTTCCACCTACATTGACACATCAGGCCCCTAATCTACATATGCATAGACCAGGATTGCAACACCATTGTGTAAAAGTGTACCGAAAAGTCTTTGTGAAGGATGACAACCACCTCCAACTGTGAACCTGAATCTCTTTCACCAGACTATCCAAACAGAAGCTGCTATCATTGAACCTGCAGAGGTTCCTTGTCCTCCACACTGTCCAAGTAGTGACCAGCCACACGATACACCAATATTCAACTTGTACATTTTGGTGAATAGGTCCAGGAATGAAGTTGAAATGCTCCAAAATGCACCTAGGGAGGGGAGCATGACAATTAATCCAAGACAGACATACCTTCCATACTTTGTCAACCACCGGGCAGGTGCAGAACAAATGATAATCAGTTTCAATATCATGCTTACAAAATACACATAGTGCATCATTATCTGATATGACAATACTCCTGCTAGCCAGATTATCCACCGTCGGGAGGCCCTTACTCATCATTCTCCAAGAAAATTTTTTAGCTTTTGGTGGTGCCGGGATGGACCAAATAATGTTAGGTGCACCATTATTGGATCCTACAACAGCTTCAGAGGTGATGGCACTATATGTAGACCTGACTGTATAAGTTTTAGACGGTTCACCCAACCACCACCATGAGTCAACCTGCTCCGCCCTAGGACTACACTCCACAAGTTGTTGCATTAATTGCTGCTCCAACGGTATCTCCCATTCGAACCTTTCCCGTCTCCATTGTAGCTGCCATGCCCAACTATTGTCTGTCCAAGAGCCCATATCCTGAATAAAATGATTTTGCTGTTCAGAAATAGTGAATAGCCTCGGAAAAACACTTGCTAGACAGATTGGGCCTGTCCAATTATCTAGCCAAAATCTAGCTCTTGATCCTGATCCAATTCTCCACTTAAACTTCCTTTCAAACCAATTGTCTTGTTCTAGTCCACCACATACCATAAGTAGATCCCTCCACCATATGGAATCTCTTCGGGAACTACTTTGAGCACAAAGGTTTGTCCCACCACCATATCTCGAATATAATACTCTGGCCCATAGAGAATCATTTTGGTGAAAAAGAGACCACCTCCACTTGGCTAACAAAGCCATATTAAACCTGGTAATATTTTTGACTCCTAATCCCCCCATATTCTTTGGCAAAGTCACCCTATCCCAACTTATCCAGCAAATTTTGCGTTGATCTTCCTTACATCCCCATAGAAAGTTTCTTTGTAGACTAACGATTTCTTTGCTGACACTAGCCGACATTCTGAAGAAAGAGAGAAATAATAGTGGTAGCGAGGTTAATACTGAGTTCAATAAGCACACTCTACCAACCATTGATAGGACCTTGCATTTCCATGAGGACAACTTTTTCTGAATTTTGATAACAATGGGCCTCCACGTATCTTTCTTTCTTGGATTGGCGCCAATGGGAATCCCGAGATATGTAAAAGGAAAGGATAGAAGTGTGCAATTCAACAAGTGAGCATAACCTTCCGCCAAACCAGAATCAATTCCCATAGCTCCGAACTTGCTCTTACAAAAGTTGACTTTCAAACCCGAAACCATCTCGAAGCATCTCATCATACTTTTAATTGCCATTACATTCTGTAAGTTTGCCTCACCAATAAACATGGTATCATCAGCGTATTGGATAATACTGATAGGCACCTGTTGAGAGCCAACCTTCACACCACAAAAACTATTTTGACTCACAGCTTCCCTCATCAGTCCCGTTAACCCTTCCGCTACCACTGTGAAAAGGAACGGGGACAGTGGATCACCTTGTCTAAGCCCCCTTTTGGGACCGAATTCCTCTGAAGGGCTTCCGTTCACAAGCACAGACACTCTGGATGACATGAGGCATTCACTGATCCAACTAACCCATAGGTTATTGAAACCAAGACGTCTTAGCATATACAGAAGATAGGTCCAACACACAGAATCATACGCCTTTTCGTAATCCACCTTAAAAAATAGGGTCGGCTTATTCAATCTCTTAGCCTCGTCCACAACTTCGTTTACAACCAATGCACTGTGAAGGATATTCCTACCCCCAATAAAGGCACTTTGCCTCTCATCAATAACACTAGGCAAGACACACTTCAATCTATTTGCAAGCACCTTGGACAAGATCTTGTACATGCAACCTACCAGAGAAATAGGCCTGTAATCACTAAGACACCGAGGATCATTTCTCTTAGGAATTAGAGTGATGAATGCCGAATTTGTTCCCCTAGGCAATCTTCCCTTGTTATGGAATTCTCTGATAAAGCGACAAATATCCCCACCCAATGTACCCCAAAATTCTTTTATGAATCTAAAATTGAAACTGTCCGGGCCAGGGCACTTCGAGCTACCACATTCCCATACTGCAGACCGAATCTCCACTTCAGTGAAAGGAGCAATAAGCAATTCATTTTGTTCTGAGGATAAGACCTTGAAGCGTACACCATCCAACACAGGTCTAGGTTGGCACTGTTCTTGGAATCTTTGTTGAAAAAAGTCTTTTACATGGGCTTTGACCACCTTGGGTTCATCTGACCAC